TGGGTCACAGGGCTACTCAGGGTTTGTACTCAGGAATGAGGTCAGCAAGCCAGCCAACAGAAGCTTGGATAGGCTTTTCTCCTGCCACTTTGCTGGATGAGTAAAAAAGCCCCCAGACCGAGGCAGTTATATAGCAATTCTCAGGTTCACTTCAAGGTCCACAGCCAGAACTAACTTTAGGGTGCACAGCTGAGACTGAGTTTAGCAGGCCTGCTGCCAGTGGCACAGAATGGTATTGCTGGGTCTCTGGGCAGACAAGATTGACAACAGGACTGGAGTTGAGTCATGGGACAATTTCAGGATCTGCAGTTGAGTTTGTGGTTTGAGTGACAGTTACCAGGGGCCTGGACAGGCATGGCTCTTTCTGGTTCCTTATGCGGTCAAGAATATCTCTGGACAGGCAGGAGAGCAGGGCTGTAGCCAAGTTACAAGGCTGCTTCAGGACTTGCAGTCAGATCCATGGCTGGTAGGACTGTAACCAGGGGCATGGATGAATGTAACTTCTCCTGGGTCTCTTGGAATATGGGGCTGGTTGCAGGATGGCAGCCAAGAGGGGCTGGATCCAAGTCCATACGGGGTTGAGGCTCTTTTGGGTTTGTAAGTTGGACCATATTTGGTGAGCCTGCCACTGGGAAGTGGGCCTGCCTTTTCACAGCAGCTCTTTTCAGTTTCAGGGTTCACTGGGGTTTTCCAACCTTCTACCTAGATCTCACATCTCCCTCAATGGCACTTTCGTCCATGGATAACTGTCAAATTGTTGTTTTTGTTGGGCAATGCGAGCTGGGGACTTCCTATTCCTTCATCTTGCTGTTGTCACTGCCCTCATTGTGGTTTTGGATTGCATTTCCCTGATAATTAGTAAGGTTGAGTACTTTTTCCTGTGCCTATTGGTCATTGCTATGTCTTTTTTGTAGAACTGTCTTTCAAGTCATTTGCACATTTCTTAATCAGGTTTTTTTTGTTGTTGAGTTGTTAGTGTTCTCTTTTTATTCTAGATATTAACATCTTATCAAATATATGATTGTCACATATTTTCTTCTATTTTATGGGCTGCTTTTTCACTCTGTTGATAGTATGCATTGATGCACAAAACTTTTTATTTTGACGTAGTCCAATTTATCTGATTTTCCTTTCGTTACCTGTGCTTTGGTGTTACAAACAAGAAATTATCGCCAAATCGAAATTCATGAAGGTTTTCCTCTATGTTATCTTCTAAAAGATAGCTCTCAAATTTAGGTCATGGATCCATTTTGAGTTAATCTTTGTATATGGTATACGGTAAAGGCCCAACTTTATTCTTTTGCGTATGAATATCTAGTTTTCCCAGCATCATTTGTTGAAAAGACTGTATTTTCCTCATTTGAATGGTCTTAGCTCTTTTGTCAAAAAAATCCCTATTTTTTAATGAATATTAAATCTTATAGTTTATTTTTAGCAGATAAAGGTGTTGGTTCTTATCAGACTTCAAATATGAATGTTTAATCTACCATCCCATACATCTAATATATGTGACTCCTTTGACTGACCTCAAATATAACTCATTTCAATAAACATTCAATATTTTAAAGGTAATGACTTAAAATGATGTCACAGTGTAATACTACTCTACTGGTTCATATAAAGGCCACTTTTACCATTGTTAAAATGATTCAAATTTTTGGATCCCTAAATAGGTCAGAAAGAAACAAAATAGGATTATTCATATTTTTTGGTGATCTTAGTCAATAAATATAAAAAAATAGTGTTAATGAACATTTTAATCAATTTTCTCATTTTTCATTAAGAAACAAAGATCCTCTTGCCAAATTGACAAATGTTTTATATCATCAGTTATTTGTGTCTGCAGTTGAATGTTGGTAGCATACCAACATTAGACACATTGTCAGTAGCACTGACACCAATGATAAAACAAGGGAAAATAAATCACATTAACCTTTCCATTCAGCCATTATGAACAATCTGAAGATTTGTTCAGATTGTTCAGAAAAGAAATCCAGGTACATTTTGAACATTTACTTAAGAACAAAAGGATAAGTTTCAAGGAAAAGCATGTTTCTATTTGGAGTGTCACCACAGGGAAATTTAGTCTATGTTTGCTTAAATTTACTGTAAGAAAAGACCTTGAAAAATGAGACAATCTCTGTTCTAATTTTCTCATTTAATCCATACGTGAGTGAACAGTGATAAGAACTGCACCTAAGTGATTTTTAGAATGTCATCCCAATTCTCTCTTCTTTTAAAGAGAATTTGTCCTGTATAGTAGGACTATTCATGCAAATAACAAATGAGAACATGAAAAGTCACACAACTTTTGGAAAATATGAAAAATTCCATAGGATTTTCTTTTTAATTTTCTTATATAAGCTGTATTTATTATAGTGTAGATGTTTATTTAGAAAAAAAAAAAAACAACGTAGAACTTTGGGAACTTTACTGTCTCCAACAACATGTATTTAGAGGTTTTAATAAGTTTGGGTTTTTGAATAAATTCTAAACTGAAGAGGAAGAAAATAAGTTTGAGTGCATCTTTTCCAATACTGCAATGAATGATCAAAAAAAATGTAAGTAGGGCCAGTTTTCTAAGCCACATTGAAACTATTTGGAATAAAGATTCCAAATTTTTAAGAACTTGAAAGAAATGTACTTTTGTTTTCTTTTTTTGCAAACAAATAAAACCTAGGTTAACAGAGTGAAGCTAATGATAAAAAGAGCTTTAATGACTGGCAATACACATCTCAATGATTCATATGAAAATGAGCGGTTTTAAAATGTTTGAAAGTGATTGCTAGTTCTATTAATTTTCTTATTGGCAAATGTATGAAATGTAAAATAAACTTCAACTGGGCTTGAGTTCAAATTGTTAAACATTCCTTAATTAATTAAGCCCTAGTTAAAGTAGATTCTACTGTCTATCTGAACATGAGATCAAGAAACTTCTTTCATATTAAAGCCTACAACACAGTTTTTGTGTTTGTGGCACTATTTTCTAAATATTTCCATTAATTTTTGTAGACATTTCAAGAGGCCCAGTATCAAATTTGCAAGTTTAGCTTAGGATAGCTTTATTAACTTTGTACATATTCAGTTCATAGAAGAAGAAGGAGGAAGAAGAAAGAGGAGAGAAGGGGAGGAAAAGGGGGAGTAGAATGGGGAGGAAAAGGAGGAAAGGAGGAGGAAGAGGAGGAAGAGGAGAAAAAGAGGAGGAACAACAACAAGAAACAAGTTCTGTCTCTATGATAGCATCCCATTGTTAACTTGAGTTCGTGTTTGAGCAAGGAAATTCACTGCCTGTATAAATATTTTTAAAACACTGTTTGAAGCCAACTGAAATATCCATAGTTGTAACTAAAAATCATCTGGAAATAGAGGTAAGGTCAGATAGCATCTTAAAAGGGATATAGAAGTTTTTTTTTTCTTCTTTTTGATTCTTCCATGAAGGAAGTACTGGAATTCTTTCAGAACATAGTATTATGGAACTGTAAGCCGAATCTTCAAATTTTTCAAGGTAATAATTTGACCCAGTTGGTTGTTTCATTTTTTTCCATTTCAACTTTCTGGGTAGTTATAAAATACTTTATCTCTAGCACAGAATGGGGTGGTCTGATAAAATTCCAAAACCCAAGAATAAGGCATTGGAATCTAATCTATGACTTTATGTGCATTTGACTTTTATATAAAACTTGTTTCTTTCTGGTTCATCTACATAATATATCCTTATTGATAAGAATATGGAGGAGCATCTACTATTACACAACTCATCAGGTGACATAACAGATAATCCATAAATAATCAAGCAGTGCTCATTATCAACTCAACAAAAATCATTATTGAGTCTTTACTATCTGCCAAACATAGTGTACAAGGAGCTGAGGATAATATGATGAGCAAAACATAAACTAAGGCTGATATAGTTTACTCTACTTTAATGAAGTCATAATTGATTCACAATCAAGACTCAAGATAATGTCTTCTGATAAGGCAATGCTTTTGTTTCTTATATCCATATGTATATAATATACATCTATGCTTTCTTATCTAAAGAGAGGTCATCATAGGGACTGTTCAGTAACATTAGTGATATATACATGAAATATGCATAATATATATGGATATCAAATATGTATATGTTTTGTTGATATGCTATTAAAAGAATTCACGTGTTTTCGCAAATGTCTTTAAAATGATTCATTTTCTCTATATGGCACTATGTAGTTGTTGAGGGCATGGACCTTTCAGCTAGAAGGCAAATTCTGAATCCTGGCTCTGCTGCTTAGTGGCTGTCCAGCCTCGGGCAATGTATTTAATATCTCTGTGACTTGGTTTCCTCAACTTTACAATTAATATAAATAGAATACCCACTTTATCGTGTTGTCAGGGAAATTAAATGAGTTATTATTTACAAAAATCTTAGAAGTGTCAGGTAACAAGTAAATATGATATGCATTTGTTAAATGAATATAATAAATGTTTTAAAAGTCTTTGAGGGCCTCCTTTTATAGAAAACTCAGAAGCATCTTACATGTGCCTCACTTCCCTTCCTATCTCTGTATTTAAATAAGGAGTTTCCATTAGTTAAACATCCTAAAATAGTCTGGATTTTCCAGGCTATAGTAAAGAAAGTTACAGCTGAATAAATTCTCCAGTGATGGAATAGATAAGGAAAACAAACAATTTAACTGTGTTTAATACAGAATAACTGTTTGAAGAAATATATATTTATGTACAGAGCGCAATAATTTTTGTTATATTGCCAAAATGGTCATAGATTTAATACATCAATGTGAAGAAAGAATATATTTTCTTGGCTTTGATTTCAATTCTGTAGTCTCGATGAAGAGAGGTGCCATCATGAATACTCATTATACATGAGAAGAAAAATGTGATGAGAACCAAATGTTATGAATGGTTTTATAGGTGAAAGCAATATTAAATCATATCTTTCCAAAGGAATATGTAAGATAGAAATTAAATAAGTGTGACAACTTAAGAAGGTGAAAATGTTGGTCTAGTATCTGAATTTTTATTATGTACTTTATCATAATTTGCAGAAATTACTACACTCTGTTTCAGCTCTTCAAAAGGAAGCAGAGTCAAATAAGTTCAAAGTCAACCAATACCTTTGTTACACTGTTACCCCAAGTTGCACTAACTTAACTTTTCTCATTTACAACTCTTAGTATATAGAGGCTTGCATGCCAGATTTAAGTGGCAAGTTGATTTTTCTTCTTTTCTAATATTGACTCGACATTTTCCTGGTGGTAGCAAAATGTAATGAAGAGAAAAGAAGGTTGAATATTGATACTCGATTGGGTGACCTTTGGTAAATTATTTAACTTCTCTGAAGCTTTAATTATCTCACTTGCAAAATGCGTATAATAATCACTATATCCCAGAATAGTAGTACAATATGGAATTTTATTTTTTGAATACTAATCATTTTTCTCTCCTAATTTATAAAACACTAATCATTTTTTGATTAGTATTCATTTTTGAATACTAATCATTTTTCTCTCCTAATTTATAAGCTTCTATGCTTCTTCCCTTCTATTGCTACATAAAAAGTTACCCCCAAAACTTAGCAGCTTATGACAACAAACATTTATTATCTCACAGTGTCTGTGAGTCAGCAATCTCCTAGATCCTCTGGCTTAGGGTTTCTCATGAGGGTATAATCAAGATGTCACATATGGTCTCATCTGAAGATTCAATGAAGAAAGGAGGTGCAAAGACATCAAGGGGATCCGTACTCCGATTACTGGGTGGGAGGCACTAGAAGACAGAAAGGTCCCAAAGATGTACTGGTTCTCTGTTTTGTTTTGTTTTATTTTGTTTTTCTCAATAGATAGAGCATAAACAGTCCACTAGTGATCATATAGCCCCAGCATGGAATGTCAAAGAATAGAAGTATTCTCAAATTTTTGAGTATGGTGCAGTAGTGGCAAGAGTCACTTGAAGGGTCTATGAGGAGACATGAGAGATGTCTCAGGGGTTTTCTGCAAGTATCAGATCACCTGAGTAGACTGATAGCACTGGGAAAGAGATGTACCAGCACTCACTCACCTGCCCCATTCTCAGACAATTCTTTGGCACTTTGTAAGCCCTGAGTACCTCAGACACAAGGCTGGAGAAATGACCAGGGAGAAACTTTGCCATGACATTGAGTCAGTTTCTTCCACCCTGGGAGCTATGGGCCACAAAAATAAATAAGATCAAGTCTATTATTTTTACACTTGGGTTTGCAGATTTTCTTTACATCTCATGTTTATAAAAAGTCCAGTTCATATATTGAAACATTGTAGATGCTTATTAAATGGTAGCTATTATTATTGTAATTATTTCCCAAGCTAACCAATATTCAGAACACCTCATAGAAATCAATTATCTCTGTATAAAGAATATAAGCTCTATTACAACCAAGGGTCTACATTTATGTTGAGGGGAATGAGGACAGATTGATCAATGTGTTTCCAAAATTATCTATCTAGTAAGTAACAATGCTCCCGTACTGAGACTGAAGCCTCGTCCACTGACAGGCATCTTCTAATACCTGTTTTTAGAAAGGCATTTGATCTCATGTGGATATCTCATTCTCTCCACGCAGAAAGTGGGTACCTTAACCCTTTCATCAAAATGTTACTTGGAAGTGATGGTAGTGCTGGGAGACTGTACTGATTTCTCCTCTTAATATAGGATTTAGATTTTTAAATTATTTTCTTTTATTAAGTCTCAGAACAGAGTAAAATATTGTTGAACAATTATATAGGAGATGCCTATCTGCATCAGAAAATAATTGCTAATATTTTTTGAGTGCCTAATATGTGCTCTGTTCTCTTCTACTGGCTTTGTATATATTATCTCATTTAATCATCATCACATCCCTATAAAGTAAGTACCATTATAAACTTTATTTTAAAGATGAGACTGAGGTTTATGTTTACACAGCTGGTAAGTAATCATGCCAGAATTTTGACCTATGCACACTGACTTTGGAGTCCATACACAACCACTTTTTCAAGAATAAATTTATCACATGATCAAATTTGGAAAAGCATTGCAATTGAGATTCAGAGACAACTCAAAGTGCATTTGATTCAGAGTTTTACTACTAACTAGCTGAATGCCTTAGAACAAATCACTTAATATTTGTTAAGCTCATTTTCTCATCTGTATACTAGCACCTACCTGTTGAGTTTGTGGTAAGAATTAAAAGAAGCAATACAGAGCCTGGAACATATTATTAATGTTCTGAGAATCAAATTTGCTATTTTTAAGTCTTATGCCTAGTCTTATTAGATGACCAATTGAGATCATTTTAGTGAAAACACTTTGAAAATTATGTCCCGAGATAAATGAAAGAAGCTATTTCTGTTAACACTATTAATAGAAATAGCTAACAATTTCAATGTACCAGGCATTGGGCAAATTTTTTTACATATTAACTAAAAAAAATTTTAAAGACATTTTTAAACCCCCCCAAAATATGAAGTACTATTTTACAGATGAGAAGACTGAATCATAGAAGAGCTAAGTAGCATACGCATGGTTATATCCAGGAAGCAATGGAGTTTGGAGTTTTCCTCAAACAACTCCAAAATTGTATGCTTCATATCATAAAGCTTTATTTAAAACATACTGCTTCGAGCATTTTAGAAGCAGTCATTGCACTGCGAACAAAATAACTCTATTGTAACCAGACAACCAGTTATTTTAGTTGATGAAACGATATGTTTAACAAGATTAGTGATTTCTATTGTAATGGTTGATATATTTTAGGTAGGAGTGGATATACCTTGGGAAGGGAAAGGGAGTTACCCAGATCTCCTGAAAGCAATAACATTTTGTATTTTGAAAGATGTTATACACGCTCAGATTATTTTAGTCATCTATTTTTTGCATCAATTCATCCATGCATTCCTTCCTTTCTTCCTTCCTTTATTCAATAAATATCTGGAAATCAGACTAGTCTTTGCTTTGATAGTTGCAAAGCATTGGAACAAGATATATCAGATTTTCCATTGCAGCCTTAAAACTTCCCATTTGTGTGATTTTCAAAAGTCACACAATCTCAAAATGGAAATAAGAATAGTATGTATCTTATACAGTTGTTGTGAGTATTAAATGTAATAATGTAATAATGCATATAGAACACTTAGCACAATGCCTGGCATATGGCAAGCACGTAGTAATGCTTAGTTACCATCATCATCTTTTTCATCTTACCACAAACATTGTCCAATTTATGAAAAACTTTTTAATTTAAAAGTTCACTGTGTCTTAACTGGTTTTTGAGAAACAAACAAAAAAAAACTCCTATTTATCTGGACATAATTGGTTATCTGGAAACAGAAGCACTATTTCCCTAGAAGCCATCTTATAAACATTACTCAGACTCCTAGGTTACTTCACTCCAATCCATTAATGCCATCATGTAATTTTATAAATGTTATTTATCAAGTTTCAGCCAAGAGACAAGTCAGAGGTCTTCAGAGCCCTAGCTAAAAGGCTAGAAAGAAGTTGAACGGAAGGGTTGCAGCTCTGTTGAAATGATCTAGCTATGAAGGGAAATGAAATCATTAAAAATTAAAGATGCAGGACACTTGGGTTCAGGAATAGGGCCTAGAAAGACAAATATGAGAGAGGTTGGGTTGAGAGAGACACTAGGTAGAAGGTGCATAGATTTGCCCTTTCCTGAGGTAAGACAGGAGTGAGGTCCTATATCGAGCTGTACTTTTCCATCCACAATTGTGCTTCTGAATCTTGACAGCTATGCAAAGAATAGATCAAGGAGGACTGTGTATGTCCCGCTAAAACATTTAAACAGTATGCTGAAGGTCGTGAAGAGTCACTAAAGCGATGTAATTCAGGGAGTCAACACTTTCTACTACAACGTTAGTGTGCATTTTTGCAGAAGATTTCCCATGTGGACTTAATATTACATCCTACTTCCAGGCAACCAGACAAAATACTGTAACTGAGCTTTTGCTTAGAATCATTTAGTATTTTTTACTTCTAATGAAGCAGTCACAGAAAGATGAACTTTCAGTACATTAACATAAAAATCTTTGGGGTGATGTTATAAAGTTCAGTATTTATTAACAACACTGCTACATTATTTTTAACAAGCTGGGATGCAACATTCATTTACTCCTGTTGCTATTTTCAGAGGTCACCAAATCTGAAGGTCCCTGGCAGCATTGCTAGTGAGCTAAATACTTTAATACATAATGTAAAAGCTTTTTATAGAGAAATATAAGTTTAACTAGAGTGTCCACTCAGCACTAAAGTATGTAAATTTTTTTCCTTATATTGAATCAAATTTGTTGACATGTTCCCCCATAGAGTCCTTAAAGTCTGACGTCTCCCCAGATTTATTGTAAACTTTATGTTCAGGATTCTGAACCTCACAGAGCACTATCTGCCGTGGTACCCTGGCTACAAAAGTCGATGCTCAATAACTTCTTCTGCCTGGAAGAAGTTGGCACTATGGAAATTAGACTACTTTGCTAGGCCAGTTATAGTGCAATGGAAGGATGTTTACATAGTCTAAAATGTATCAATCGATTGTTTAAACATTTTTTTTTCCTGCCTCTCAGGAGAATATAAAAGTTAGAAGCAAGGCAGAAGTAGTTCTCTAATGCACAGTGCTATCTATATACCAATAGGTATCCTTCCCTCTCAGAAAATAAGAGGTTAAATTTTCTTATTATTTAGATTTTGCAAAGTTCAGATTTTTTTTCTTAATTTTAACCTATATTTAAACTGGTATATATCTTAAATAGTCCTGCCTTCTTGGGGGAAGAAAAGTATGCTTAACACAATTAAAATTTTAATGATATCTAAAGAGTCATTATCAATGGTACCAAATACTGCCTGCATTAGTTTCCTATGGCTTTTGTAACAAATAACCACAAACTTGGAGGTTTAACCAATACAAATCTATTACCTTCTAGTTCTGTAGGGCAGAAGTCATACACAGGTTTCACTGGGTGCAAATCAAGGTGTTGGCAGGATTTTCTTTTTGGAGGACCCAGAGAAAATTCTGTTCTTTGCCCTTTTCAGCTTCTAGAGGCTGCTCACACTCCTTGGTTTATGTTCTTCTTCATACATCTTCAAATCCAACAGTGTAGTATCTTCAAATATCCCTCTCTTCTGACCTCTATTTCCATCACCTCTCTTTCTCTAATGGATGTTCTCATCTCCCTCATAAGGTTTGGGCCCATGTGGATGATCCAAGATAATCTTCCCATCTCGGGATTCTTAGTCGTATCTATTCTCAATACATTGAATTTCTCCCTCAATGACCAGTTGTTGTGTGCACAGGTTTCTCCCAACTGGTTTTCTCCTTCAAGTTTCTGTAAAGAGTGAGAAGATGATTAAAGCTGATAGATGTAAGAAGAGAGAGAAGAGAAATGAGAAGAGCGAGGAGAGAAATTGAAGCCAGATTCTAAATGAAATCTGAGGTAAGATCTTGTTAGTAAAGTGTATGATATACGTGTTGTCCATTTAAAGGACTTTATTTCTTGCTTCTGATATTCAGATGTGTTTAGGAGAGTTTAGTCTGCTGTTCTAAGCCCAATCAACTATTCATTATCTTCCCCTTGAATTTAACTCTCATGTTTTCTCTGTTCCTGTACTCCTACTGCCCCCCTGCTATCTGGAATGTCCCTCCCTCACTTTTATCTTTTCCAGAATTTTTTTCAAACATAAATTCTTCTTGAAGACTTTTGTACCCTTTCTCCCCAAATTAATCACTCCTTCCTTTGTGCTCCCATTGAATTGCGTTCCTGTTAAAACAGTTCTCACTCTGTCAGATTTAGTAGTTTATATCATGTCTTCTACTAAACTGTGAGTTCCTCAATGATGGGTCTGTGCACTCCTTAGTTTTGCATTGGAACACATATCACAGTAGCTGGTACAGAGTAAATTACCGAGGAGACCAACATATAGTTTGCTGAATATATAGCCAAAATAGGTCAAGAGGCTACGCTGGTCATGTGGAATGGATACTCAATGGGTCTGGGCTCTGGCCACCACTACTTCATGGCTTATCACTTGTTAAAAGTCTGAAAAAATATTTGATGAATGGGTGAATAACTTAAGGTGAAATAGTTCTCAGATATTTATTATCAATTTTGTGCTTATTTTCCTTGTTACCCCAAAAGGGAAGCTCAGCATAAACAGCCACCCCTTAGTGCTGAACTTGCCTTATCCTATTTATAATTCCAAACAGTTCTATGAAGTAGGTATTCTTATCCACATTTGACAGTCAAGAAACCAACAGCAAAAAAAAGTCTTTTGCCCAAGATCATGCTATTATCAAGTGTCAGAACTGAAATAGGAAGCCAGATCTAACTTTTCTCTTAACCTCTGTGCTGCATGACTTCCCATGTTTACTGTCTGAGTAAACATATGAGGGATGAGTAGTATGTGCATATGTGTGTGTAGTGTACTGTGTACATGAAGACATATGCACACCCACTCACTCCACACACATCAAATCTTAACTTTCTCTTTCCATCCAATATAAAAATCATTCTCGCTATACATGTTCTTTTTTAATAGCTGCATACTAACTCAACTCATAGATGTACCATATTTTATTCTACCATTGTGCTATTAATAGTCATTGAGGCTATCTCCAGGATATTTTCCTTTTTTGGTATCACCAAACAATGGAGCTATAAACATCCTTTTTATACTTTACCCACTGGAATCTATGTTTGTTGTTAGATCATCTAAGATGGGATTATCAGACCAAATGTTATAAACATTTATTTTAATAAGTAATGTTTGGATATTTTCCAATAATACTGCCATTAATAAATAGTTCTAAAAGCATTGTATAAAAATCCCTATTTCCTCACCATCCATCCTCATCAATTAATATCTTTTGTCTCTTTTTAAAAAAACATATTGTTGCATTGTTTTAATTTCTGTTTCCAACTCCTAATGAAGAAGCACATATTATCATATTCATTTTATTTTTTTCTGGTCTTAACCCTAACACCATAACAAAATACATAATGCAAAAAATACTGATAATACAAAGAAAAATATTTATAATCAAAATTACTGTGGAAATTTTTAATAAATTCCCTTAAAACATTGACAGATGGAGTAGAGTTTTAAAAAGGATTAGTATTGTTAATAATCAACTGTGCATATACTTCATATCTGTTAGGTAAAGAATGCATGTTCTTCTCATATGTTGATGGAACCTTTACAGTAACCATTGCTGTTTGATAGTAGGTGGACGGCACAATGTTTGCACTCCAATTTTCTGTTAAGAACTTAGAAAGTATTTTTTGCACTGTGCATATTCTTTATCTTATATCACCACATATACCTATATCCTAGAGTCTGTCTAGTTCCTTTCAAGAAAAATATGCTGAGAATATGGCCTTAGCTATAGAAGAGTATAGAAATAGGCATGCCTATTAGTTTTCTATTGTTGTAATAACAAATCAGCACAGATTGACCAGCTTGAAACAGCACACATTTATTATTTCATGGTTATATAGGTTAGAAATATGGGCAGAATCCAGAATAGACTCTCTGCTTTACTTCAATGTAGTGGCTGGGCTAATTGCTTTTTTGGAGGCTCTGGGGAAGAATCTGCTTCCAATATCATTCAGGTTGTTGGCAGAAGGCAGTTCCCTGAAGCTGTAGATCTGAATTCCTGTTTCCTTACAGGCTGTTATAGAATTATGGGCTACTCTGAGCTTCTAGAGGCCAATTTTAGATCCTTGCCCCATGGCCACTCCCCTATCTAAGGGCCAGCAATGGTGAGCCTACTTCCTGTCTAATCTTTCTTATGCTGTCAAAGGATTCATTGGTTAGATATGGTTAGGTTAGGCCCATTTGGATAATTTCCATATCTTAATGTCCACTTATTAAGTAACCTTAGTAATACTGGCAAAATCTCTTTTGCCATCTTCTGTAACAATCATAGGAGTAGCACCAAGAAGTGGAGGTCATGAGGGACATCTTAGAATTTTGCCAAGTACAGCATGGCTGAAGAACCAATGATTATGGAAATGTGGATAAGAATGTCTTTTAGTCCATATTTATTTGAAAATGAATTGCAATGCTACTATTCTCTGGAAAAGACAGAGTATCAAGACATAGACAATCAAGGCTGGATAGCATATGGTCTATCGCAAGTTCAAAATTACCATATCTGGGACACTGGAAAGCGTTGTTAGCTTAGTAGAATTTAATTTTAAGTGATTTTTTTAAATATAGAAGAGAAACATGTCCATTACAGAAAATGTATAAAATATGGAAAAACATAAAGAAGTAAACCAAAGCTAGTTCAAATACCACTACCTAAAGGTAAGTACTGTTTCAACTGAAACATCCAGAGGGATTTTTTGGACTTTGAGCCTTCAAGCTTTTGGTGAGACAAACAAGGTAATATGCGAAGAGGTGTTTTGTGAGAAGCCGAGGAAAGTGGTAAACTCACCATACTTGGAACTTCCAGGAGGAGAAACAAAAATATCAGAAATGTGAAATAGACCTAAAGTAGTCCGGCCAGAAAGGGGAGAGAGGTGTGAGATGATCAAAGGAGACTGAGACTTTCTGTAAAAGAGAGGAAGAGGATTAAGAAGCCTTGGAGACATTGGAGCAGTTGTAAAAAATGGAACATAGGGAGTGGGAAGGCTTATATCTATGTGTTGTGTATTGAAAAGCCCTCCTGCTATCTCTTTAAGAAGGCTCCAGATGACCCAGGTTACTTTTTAATGTTGTCTGGAGTCAGATTTTTGTTTCATTCATTCATTCATTCATTCATTCATTTATATGTAGTTAGCATATGATATTATATTAGTTTCAGGTGTACAACATAATGATTTGACGTTTATTCTTAAGATGTGGACACCACAGCAATTCGAGTAAGCATCTGTCAATAGCGCAAAGTTATCACAGTATTATTGACTATATTATTCTTCATATTTTTGCCCGTCTCTCCACCCTCTCCCTTCTGGCTTCTTTTAGGCAGGACACCATGCTGAGTCTTGCCTCAAGGTTGCTCAGGACATTCTAGCTACAGAAACAAAAAACATTTTTTTTTCTATTTTTCTATCTCTTTACCAAGGTGTCAGCGATGGTGCTTACATCCTGCTCTTGTTTTTCTGTTTTCTCAGTTCTTTCTTTGAAACTGTGGTTAACTTGTTGTGGAAGGAAATAGTTCTGCCCTCTCATAATTTTTTCTGCATGGTTTATCCATCTTTGGTTGAGTCAACTTTGCTTTTGCAAGTCACATACATGTACTATAGTCCTCAGGAAAAGGAAATTCGGCTTGAATTTTTAAAAATCTACATTTTGTTTTACTGCTATAAAATGAAGATCAATGCTGTTTTATTCCTGTTTATTTGTGTATCAAATATATATAAGTTGAATTTTTAAATATGTTCCTGTTTTGTTTCCTTCATTAAAAGGATTTACTATGTATTGAGGTCTGGAATCTATTTTTTTTTTCCTTCAAGTAATTCACTTCCACTTAACAATTGTTTTAAGAAAAACAATATCTGAGTTCTGTCCTCTAAGACATACTTAATGAGCACATATTATGTGTTAGGCACTGTTCAAAGCCCTGGAAATTATTTGTAGTAATGGGTTGCCTTTAAGTCAATTGTAAGCAACCAGGATTCAAGAAATTTAGAGTGAGCATATTGAGGAAAGAAGGATCTAGAATATTTAGGCTTCAAATGATGGGGCTAGATTCTTATTCTTTATTTTATCTTTGTAAAAATATTTATAGTAAAGGGAACTTTTTTTGAGGAGAAAGACTCTATCTCCCAGTTCAAATAGACATTCTATTCTTTTATACTTAAAACTGTCAAGGAAATAGGATTTTAGCTCCAGCTGCTCCTAGAGTTAGAAAGGCAACAATAATAGTAGTGATAATAATAACTTTCTTCCAGAAATATTAAGAGAAAATTCATACTAAGAGGTTTTACATATGACCAAATATATACACAAATATGTATATGTATATATGTATGTATGTATGTATGTATGTATGTGTGTATGTATATATGTGTGTATACGTATATGTGTGTGTGTGTGTGTGTGTGTGTGTGTGTGTATAGTCTATATGTTTGGTCATATAAAAATTTGGTCATACCTAAAATTTGGTTATATATGTGTAACTAGGATATATATATATCCTAGTTTAGTCTTACTGTTAGGTAGGTTTAGCCAAGGCCTAGGGTTAAATGTGACTTCTCTTCCTTGCATTTGTGCATGTGTGTTGCTCTCAAGAATTCTGACTTTCCTATTTGAATCATGTCTATCAATCCCTATCAAAATACCAATAGCATATGTTTAGAGGGTTAGAATAAATAA